TGCTCTCATGTGCGAGACAGTCACAGAAGTGCCGCTGGCCGGCTGGGATCGATAGTAACCCGGGGGTAGTACCGATCGGAAACAAGCTAGTTTTTCATTTCAAACTTTGAATGAAACTGTTTTAATTTGTTGTTAAAATCTTTCCAGTCTCCAGACGTTACATTCAGATGATATTCAACTTTTTTTTTACTTTTTCGCAACTTCACAAACCAAGTTGCGATGGTCACCCCTGTCTATTAGCCCTAAAGATTGCGTACTCGGTAATCTGAACGTAACATATGGCCACTTTCCTGTTAGCGATTCGCAAGAAGCTATTGTCTTTTTGCTGAGACAGTCTGATGGAAATGTTGGTGGTCGTTATACAAAGGTTAAAGTGTGAATAGGTCTACAATAGGGTGGTCGCTGGTCGCGTTGGACAGGTGGTCGCTATATCCAGTGTCTTTAACGTGTAAATTGCAAAGGGACTGTACTAAGGTGGTCGCTATGAGCAGGTGGCCGCTCTGCACAGGTGGTCGGTAACACAGGTTTGACTGTATGTGGCACGTTTGAAAGCAGGATAAGCTAGTTAAAGCTGGAGTCGTCACCTGCGCATGTGCAGGAATTCCCAAGCGACCATAACACACGCTAAAAACGCAAAGGCTCATGGGTAGACGCTTGTTTGTAAACAATGACATGCTATGGCCATCTGAAGCATGCACAGGTGATGAGTCCCCCACTTTAAATGTTAAATTATGGTATGACCATACTGTAGACTTGGACAACCATATATTGATATGTTAATTTGTTTGGGGTTCTGTTTACTCACATTCGTCTCATAGTACTTTTGTCATAACTTGGTCGGTCATTATCTATTGGGTCTTCTGGCTCCTCAGGAACGTTACATCGACTGAAAGAAGAAATGTATTGGGATGGTAACTTGCTGAAATATGCATGTGGTACTGTAAGATACTTTATTTTAGCGAGAATTAATTTTCGCTAAAATGATATGTTTGGTATGGAATTAATTTTCACTGATTTTTGACAAGTTTAATGTAAAATAGAGGAAAAAAGGTATATTCGCTGGATTTTTGGATTTTCTTTTCATTGAATCATTCTTTCAGTGAAAATAGCGAAAATTAATTCCAAGTGAAAATAAAGTATTCTAAGTACTTACAGTATTAGTCTGGGTAGTATACAACTAACAAAATATCACTTGATGATGCGGAGGATATGGTTGCGATTTATGATCAAGTACAAAGTCAAGAATGACATTCATAATTTCAATCAAAATCATTTTTAAGAATTTATGTTTTGAAATTGGATGCCTCATAAACAATTGTTCAAGCCTTGTTTACTAATTCTCATATACTTTTCCATTCAAGGCGAAAATTATATTCACAATCCATTCATCCTAAAGAAATATCTCCAAAGCTATACATGAATTCAGGGCTTTGACAGCACCCTAAGACTACAAACTCCAAACAAAGCAGCCCAAACGCAATAATAGAAATTGGTGAAATAATAACACTATATTTACATTAAAATAAACTGATAGATAGCCTTTATAGATATATCAAAATGAATGGAAAAGAAACAGCGACAACAGGTGATATGCTAACCATTTTGTCCTTGATATCTTCAATGAATGTGCCATTTATTTCACACACATTTTATTTGCATAGTTCTAATAGTTCACGTAATCTGGTGGATTAACTAAATAATTATCACGGGATGACCAGCTTTTCAAACTGGTAGCCTAGCAGAAGTTTGACTACTAAGTACCTGTATACAGGGTCTGTATTCATTTCACAGAACCACTTTTCAAGCAAAGAATCTGCATGTACTGTGTCTGGTAGCTTTCTCCACTTGAGACATCGATCACATTGCACCCACGATTGGTCAGGTCTATCCAATGGTATCTGGGCATTTGCCGGTGCAGATTGATAGGATCTAGTAGCACCCTGCTTCTTTT